GAGATCGAAGCAGGGGGAAGATGGCGACTGGAGAAAATGAGCGTGGCATAGCGGTGGGGGTGGTGGCGTTTGGTGTTTTTTTTTTTTTTTTTTTTTTAATCTCCTCTGGGTGGGCAGGCAGACTATGACGGGGAGGAGGATCCGTAGGAGTATTTTACAAGTATTACCCGAAAAAGTAAGGAGATCTCAGTATTTTACATATATTACCTGAAAAAGTAATGAGATCTCAGTATTTTACATGTATTAACCGAAAAAGTACGATGATCAATCAATCCTCAACCAATCAATCATCAGTCAATCATCAACCACTAATCAACCAATCGACCATACTTGATTGATGGTCCTCACCAGCGATCAATCATCAATCAAGGATCAATCAATCATCAATCACTCATCAATCAATTATCAAACTATCACGAATCACTCATCGACCAATCATCAGTCAATCCTCAACCAATCATCAGTCAATTATCAGTCATGAATCAATGATGACTCAATCATCAGCGACCATCCTTGATTGATGGTCCTCACCAACGATCAGTATTGTCGGTTTTTGCACTGATCGCAATGATTTTTCGTGACAAGCTGGACGGTTCAGATTGTATGACCCCTGTCGGCATCACTTGGACTCTGTGAAAAATTGCGGAAAGGAAGGCTGAAGCGTAGTCTTGTTTTTTTTTTTTTTTTTTTAACTGCAGCGTAGTCCAACCTAGGGGCGAGGTCCCACTAGGAACGGGATAGGATACAAACGAGTTTGTCGGGCAGTTGAGTGACCCAAATCCTGCCGTGCAGTACTGTTGATCCCACGGTCAATATTTTACATGTATTACCCGAAAAAGTAAGGAGATCTCACTATTTTACATGTATTACCCGAAAAAGTAAGGAGATCTTTATTCCCCTGCTCCTCTCCTTAACACTAGGCATGTCCGTGCAAAAACAGCGTCCCGCCAAAATCTTTTCAATCGGTTAGGGGTGTGGACAAGCCCAAACGAGGTTGGGGTCGGCCTTAACCCACTGGATAAAAAATTTTCAACATTTTACTTGATGTTGTGTAATTATCTCATCGAGTCTATTCAAGAAAATATGGTGGTTACTTTGTTCACTATTTTTGCAACCACCAGCATCAGATCATTTGTGATCTGATGGCTGGGAGACACTCTGCCGTCGTTTCCGGTGGGATGTCTCTGTTACTTTGTTTTTTTTTGGCCTTTTTCTTTTTTTCTCAGCCCAGAAATTTGTAATGAACTTGTCTGGCCGCTGCAACTCAGTGTCACGTTGAGTAATACGTCTTTGCGGTTCAGAACCCAAAACAAGACAAAAAAAAAAAACGCCAACGAACAACAACCTTGGAGTGGGGAGAGCGGGTAGAGATAACGGGGGGAAGGGTTCAGCCTCCTGATGAGTCGGTGAAACTCCGACGAAACAGTTTGTCACAGCCCCTCGTTTGTTGTCCTCCTCTCTCTATGCCTACGGTTTACCGGGCAGTTCTGTTTGTGACGATATATATCGTCAAATAGAACTGTATATATATATATATATATCTATATATATATATATATATATATATATATATATCGTCAAACACGGCTGCCCCGTAAACCGCAGGCAGAGAGGGAGAGAGAACAACAAAAGACGGGTTGTTTACGGGGCAGCTCTGTTTGACGATATATACGTATATACACATATATTCATATATATATAGGGTTCACCCTCCTGATGAGTCGGTGAAACTCCGACGAAACAGTTTGTCACAGCCCCTCGTTTGTTATCTTCTCCTGCCTCACTGACTACGGTTTACCTGACAGCTCTTCTTGGCCTTTTGGCTGTGTGCTAGTGGGTCGATATGACACACGGGGTTGGGGGAAGCCGCCGCTCAACCTACATCCATCCACGTGGGCGGCCTTGTACGCAAGAGGTTTTGAACAGGGGGAGTCTTGTAAGGAAGAAGATAAAAAATGAATTTATTTTTCTTTGTTTTCTTTCTGTTTTCTTTTCGTTTTTCCGCTCTGATAATTTCGTGACAATATATATTCATACAATGTTGAAATTCGATATATATGTGAAAGTAGGTTTGGGGGGGGGGAGGGCTCATCATTAAGATTCTCCATAGCCGATCGTTTGTTGTCTTCTCCTCCCTCACTGACTACGCTTTACCGGGCAGCTCTTCTTCGCCTTTTGGCTATGTGCAAGTGGGACATATAACACACGGGGGTGGGCGAAGCCGCCACTCAACCTACATACACGTGGGCAACCTTGTACGCAAGAGGTTTTGAACAGGGGGAGTGTTGTAAGGAAGAAGATAAAAAATGAATTTATTTTTCTTTTTTTTCTTTTTGTTTTCTTTCTGTTTTCTTTTCGCTTTTCCACTCTGATAATTTCGTGACAATATATATTCATACAATGTTGAAATTCGATATATATGTGAAAGCAGGTTTGGTGGGGGGGGGCTCATCATCAAGATTCTCCATAGCCGATAGCCTTCATAGCCATTGCCTGCAGAGACTGATGGAAGCAACCCCATAGCTGATAGCCTTGATAGCCATTGCCTGCAGATACTCATCATCAAAATTCTCCATAATCGATAATGATCATTCTCGTAACCTGAGTCCAACAACCAGCAGCATCCCTTCTTCAACAACCTCCTGGTCTCTTCGTGTTTGTCGCCCAAACAAATTTCAAGAAACGAATTTATTTTATTTTTGTGCAGATGGAAGTCGCTACCAAGCCGATCCTCGTTTTTCCATTCACGGTGAAAGCCACAACACCTTTCCCGCTTTTTGCTGGGTGGAGCGAACAGGTGCACCAAACCTTTTTTTATTTTTATTTTTATTTTTATTTAGTTTTATAGGGAGCAACTCCCACCAAAAAAAAAAAGTCAGCTCAGGGCATGGATCATTTGGCACCGCCTTCTCCCGAACACAACACACTCTCATTTGTATTGTATCTGACTTGAAAGTTAGTTTGTATATGTTTATTATAAGGTGCGTTATTTTCGGGGCAAGGTGGTATTAATGACAGTTTTTGCCATAGCCACTCACACCGAGAGAGAGAGAGAGAGAGAGAGAGAGAGAGAGAGAGAGAGAGAGAGAGAGAGAGAGAGAGAGAGAGAGAGAGAGAGAGAGAGAGAGANGAGAGAGAGAGAGAGAGAGAGAGAGAGAGAGAGAGAGAGAGAGAGAGAGAGAGAGAGAGAGAGAGAGAGAGAGAGAGAGAGAGAGAAATCAGCAACATCAGATAAATTATGAAACTAATGCCAAGCCACAAACAAGTTTCAAGAAACAAATTTATTTTATTTTTGTGCAGATGGAAGTCACTACCACGCCGATCCTTGTCTTTCCATTCACGGTGAAAGTCACAGCACCTTTCCCGCTTTTTGCTGGGTGGATCGAACAGGTGCACCAAACCTTTTTTTATTTTTATTTTGTCATGCCTATAAGCACAAAGCCCACCCATTCTACAACAACCAAACATTCCCTTCATCAAACCCCTAAGGCTACAACGCATTAACATGGAAGGCCCACAGCTGATGTATAACCCAAGTACTACTGGTTTAATACCATACAAATTACCTAAATCCCACACATTCCAACACTAATAGATGTGATAAACACAAAAACCCTAACTATCACACAAACATCATGCAACAATCACCCTACTTCTAAACCTCAACCAACATCCCATCCTTCATCGATGAAGCATATACAAACTACGGGCTGCGCACCTGTGCCCTCACGGTAAGTCAATACGTGTTCTATTCGAGGTGCTCTGCTATACGAGAGAAGTGGACCCGCGCCGTTTCAATTTCGAAAAAGGCACCGCGGCCTCCTCGGCCTCTTACGGGCAGCTACCGGTCCTACGAGGTCCTGGCCCTTGCAAGGCCCCAAATCCTCAAAATGCCCACCCTCCTGACGACCACCGACGTTGAAATTTGAGTGGCGTTAAAATGTCTCAGGGGGGGGAAATGCAACCCTGACGGGCCGCGAACAAAGCTCTCTCTCTCTCTCTCTCTCTCTCTCTCTCTCTCTCTCTCTCTCTCTCTCTCTCTTGTGCGCGGTCTTAGTCTCATTGCTTTCACTACCTTAGGGCTGCGTTCCCCGCGCCCATGCGGTAGACAATTTCAAGAGTGCTATATTGCGAAGGGCTGAAAACTCTTGAAAATGTCTGACGATCTTGACTGGGATGGCGAGGCCTTTGATCACATCTCTACTTTGCCAGCCAATCTTCCCATTATGCAATGCAGTCCACAAGTCCAGTACAGAGGACAAGTGCTGTGAGCAACCCCCGCTGGATGTAGGTGGTGAGAGACAATAAAACCCTTCCACCTCAGGCCAATCCAGGCCCACCAGGGCGCGACCGTCTTTCGCAGCTCGGAGCCTGACTGCTCACGTGCATCCACAGGTTATTGCTCTAGCTCTCATGCAGTCAGGGGTGATACGCCATAGCTTGCACCACAAAGGCCTGACATTACAATTGAAAGGTAGTGTTAGGGTGGAGAGACAGTAGGGGGAGGGAGGAGGAGGGGAGGAGGGGGCGAATACGGTACACAAGTGTACAGTACGACAGGTCAGGCAGGCAGGCGCGGGCAGGCGCGCGGGCAGGCTGACAGGCACCTCCTTACACCTGACAAGGTGTGTATCTATGTCAGCTGGGCTTCGTTCCTGACCAACGAGTCCGAAGTGAGCAATCCGGTTTCGTCGAGTCGGCGGGCGTTGTACGGCGGAGCTACCCGCTGGCAGTCGAAGGGAGGGAGGGTACTTTTGAAGTTCCACTAGAAAAATTTGCACCGCTGTCGTGTGCTGTCGGGCGTGGGGGCTGCGGGAGTGAGCCCGCTCACTCATCCGTCCGCCCACGCGCGCACTTGACTGGGGTCGTTTTCTTGTGTTTGTTTGTTTGTTTGTTCTTTGTCCTTGTTCTGTTGATCTTTGTCTTGTCTTTTTTTTTTCAAATCTGCTAAACTTTTCGGAGCGCTGAGTGCTGATCTCATGATGCCCACCGCGGTTCGTTGGGCGGGCTTCGGTCAGGCAGGCTGAGCAGATTTGACAATACGATGATGTATCACTCCTGTTGTTGTGGAGAAGGAAGAACTCGTGAATGAGTCGAGTTCGCCCGGATACTCCCGCATGTTCTCTTAGCTCGAGAGAGCGCATGCGCGCGAGAGAGACGGAGAGGAGGAGGATAAACGTGGCAAAAGGGGGCCAACAGGCGTTTAGACAGCTAGACAGTCAGGTAGTCAGTCAGACGTCCACTGTTTGATCATAACGGTGCTCTTGGGCGCGCGAGTGGCTCATCCTGCCTCAAAAGTGTCCGACGACGAACAGCGAAGAACGCTTACGGAACGAGCAATTTTCTCTTCTAGCAACAAGAATTGTGTAATAGTAGTAGTACGGGGTAGAGGGAAGTTAGAGGGATAGGGAGAGGTAGAGGAGGGAGAGGAGGGAGTGGAGAGAGGGGAGAGAGTGGAGAGAGGGAGGGAGAAGCGAGAGGAGGGAACGGAGCGAGACGGAGCAGCGAGAGGGAGAGCGCCGCGCAAGCCTTTTGTCGTCAGCGGTGTACAAAGGCGTCATGATGGGTCGTATCAGGGGGATGCACCTGATGGGTGAGAGTAGCTTCGATGATTTGTGCTGGCTGGCGTGGAGCCGTGCGCTACAGATAAAATCTGCACCGAACGTTATTGCAGTGTCACTCTCCTCTTTGCTCTAATTTACTTTCGCTTTATATCCATCTTTTTCGTTTTTGTTTTGGTGGCTGGCTCGCGCATATGTACCGCTCTCCTTGGTTGTAGGCAGAGGGGTATCATCGTTGTAGAGTTGAGCTGGATTCGCTAAACGAGGAGTGCAGGTGTGTTGAAGGTGTACATGATATGACGTACGGGCGGCCCTTGCGTGGGATGATAGAGAGCAGCGCTGCTTTGATCGTCAGCAGGGGGACATCAAGGCGAGCGAGTTCTTCTTTTGGTTATCTTCTGGCCGGCTGTCGAGAACTGGAAAGAACGACGTGTGGCAGTGTGACGTGAGAAGAGCAACATTGTGGAACACAGTGGAACAAAGCAACGTGAGAGAATCGACAAGACGACGCGCCTCGACGCGTGACAAGACGGTATAAGTGGAGAGCGAGTGAGTAGCGCAGCCGTATTCACTACGATGCCCTCTGCCAGCGTGGGCCTCCTGCAACAAGAAGGCTCGCGACCTTGTGGTTCGTGTTATTTGTCTGAATTATCTTTAAACCCCTTGTTATGTTCTGTTGCCGTTTCTTCTTTCTTTGGTGTTAATACTGTCTTTTCTTTGGGCACGGGAGGGGAAAGGAAGTCAAGTAGTTTCATCAATCAGTCTAATGCGTTATGCGTTTGGGAAAGATTTCTTCTGTAGGCTAATTAAGCAATGCAATGAGGGGAAGGAAAGAAGGTTGTCTGTTTATATTACTAAGCAGGAAGGTTTTCTGGTTATATTACTATCTTCTGGTTGGCGATTTGGATGTACAAGGGGCTTTATATCACTGGTTGGGTTGTTTGCTGGGTTTGATCAAGAGCTGGAGGGGAGTTTGTAGTTTCACTCGTTCGATGCTTGGTACGTCGGACTCGAGCTGGATATAGTGTGTAACTGACAGATTACGACATACCGATTACGGCATTTCTTTTCCTTGTGTGTTTTTGATTTACTTTCAGTTTCATGAGCGTATGAGAAGAACGAGCGCGCACTCTCTCAGTCGTCGTTCTCACTCGCGGAGAGCCTTACTCCTGGTCAGCATAGTTATTCGAGACTGTTGAGACTTAGGAGGGCTTTACTATGTGTGTGCGGTTGGCCTGACATTCGTGTTACCCGATTACTTGCATTTTTTCTGAAATTGCTGTTTGGCTGTTGCGCCTGTGGCCCATCTTCTTGCAGATGCAAACGGGTGCCAGTGCGCACATATCTTCTCTAGCGGTTCCCCCTTCGCCTCTGTTCATCCTGTTCTGCTGATCGTTGTTCTGTTCACCTCTGTGTGCCGCGCTGTGCCCCTCTGTTCATTCCTCACCTCTGTGCATCGCGGTCCATCTCTTGCGCTCACGTGTTCTCCTTTCACCCCCCTGTCTCTCTCTCATTACAGATGTTGCCAGTGTTAGGACTCTCGCTTCAGACAGCTGTCGTACTTCATCTTCACGTTTTTCACCTGCTCATATCACCTCTTTCTTCACCTGTTTTTCCATGTTTCCTCGTCCTTCGCCTATTTCTTCACCTCTCTCTTCTTCCTTGTTCTCCTCTTCATATTTCTTCGCCTCTCTCTTCACATTTCTTCAGCTCTGTCTTCATCTATCTTCAGCTCTTTTCTAGTCGTCTCTTCACCTCTTGCCGGAACGCTGGTACCATTCGTTCCTCGCTCCGCTTATTTGCCTCTCGTTTTCGCTATTAGCTCACCTGGTGCAGCCCGTTGCTTGCTGCTATTTAACTGTTCCTACAAGGTAATATTCCTGTGTGTACTCCTTAGTAGCGGTGCTATGCCGAGTCTGGAATTTGCAGCGTTGTTGGACTGTGCGATGCATTGACGAATGTCTCTCCTCATCCGTTCTCTTTCTCCCTCGCCCTCTCCATCTAGTGCAGTTCGTTTCCCATTTGTTTGTTATCGTGAATTGGGTCATTGGATAGACAGCAGGATGTATGCAGAGTGCTGTGTATAAGCTCCCATCGAAATTTCTCGAATCCATGAACTGCGTGCAGCGGTTGAATGATGTTCGCACTTTTCTCCCACGTTCTTCCCACTTTCAGAAAATTTCTCATAAAGAATAGAAACGGTCTTCTAGACGCGGCAGGTGAGAAGAGAGAGCGAGGGAATCGTGTGGAAGAAGGATAAAGGGGTGGTGAGCGGGATGTAGTGGCGAGGAAGGAACTGATTTGCAGCCAAAAGGTGGTGAAGGGGGCTCTCTGTCGTCGAGTTAACTAGGTGTATGGTGGTTGGTCAATCTCTTTGTTAGTCGGTCCGTTTTATTGTTGCTCGTCGTCCTCTCTGCGCCGTTTCTCCGTCGTCGAATCTGGTCTTACTTGGCTGAGCGCACATTCTTTTGGACATTTTCCAGGTCGCTTTCTTCTCTCTCCCTCCCTCTATCACCTGCTCTCCTTTACCCCGCTGCGGTGTTCCTTTTCACCCTCGAATTCCGCCGTGCTGTGTAGCGGCGCGACTAAGCTGGACTCTCTTTTCCTCCTTTTGAAGTCTTTTCTATGCTCCCTCCCTCCCTCTCTCCGTGTCGTCTCTATCTCCGCCACGGTTGCACACACGACGTGGCAATGATTTAGTCACGGACTCGATCGTCATCGCGGTCTGCTCACTGGCGGCGGCGTGCGGTGTGTATTGCTCCTGATTCCAGTCCCTTCAGTGGTCTTGATTCCAGTCCCATCAGTGCTCTTGCCATCCGTGTTCTTGATTCCAGTTCCATCGTGATAAGAGACATGACCACGCACTCTCCCATGGCGCTCATGGCTCCACCGAACCTCCCAGTTCCCTTGTCGGCATACTCGCACGAGGACTTCCCTGGATGTTTACGACTGCTTTTCTGACACAGCCCAGATGAACCTGACGGCAATTACATCCAGGGAGAAGAGGAAGAAGTCCTCGTGATGGTACGCTCTGAATCTCCACACACCCTGGATTGCGGAAAGAAAGGCTCACTGCAAATCTCCTCTGAATCCCTTCAGTAACTAAGCTCCATACAACCTTCCTCTTCCGATGATAGAACTTGCACCGAACCTTAAGACAAACCTAAGACCGTGGGGCCAACCCAGAGTGGCAGTTTGTCCTAAAATTCTCTCATAGTTTTGGATAAGATCCATCTTCGAGACGCCCCTTGCCTTCGGCCCTCGCGTTGGGCTCGCCATGGGAGAGCGCGTGGTCATGTCTCTTACATCGGAAGAGAAATGTTATTGTGGAAGAGGTTTAGAGGAGGATGTTAATGCTAGCTTGGGGAACGGTTGAGTGGAAGAACGTTCGGGCGGGAGAGAGTTCGGAAAATGGCAAGTCAAGGGGCGGGGGAAGTTGGGTGTCGATGGGTGGTGGGGCTGGCGAAGGGGCGAAGGTGTGTTCACGCAGGGGCCTGCTTTAGGAGCTCAGACATCAGAACGGTGGCAGACGCCGGCGCAGGAGGTTTGCGCTGGGAGGTGGATGGAGAGGGGGAACGGGTTTGGGAAGGGGTTGTTGGCTCCGCGAGTAGTTGGTCTGTTTCTTCTGTCAAGAAGATGGATTGAATTCCGTCTCCCAGGCGTTCAGTCTTCTCTTTCTTTCGGGGCGTTGGAGGCCCTTCCAAACGCATTTTCATTTCCGCTAGTGCTCCCTTCGGTCACTAAGGGGCATGATCCTCCTTTCCTCGTTTTTCGCATTTTCTGTGTTTATTGTGCCAGGTTGGTGATGAGGATTCTGATCGTGATATCGCAGACCTGGATTGTCGCTTACTTATATGAAGAACTTCATCTGGCTGACATCACGCTTCCTGTCTCTCTCGCTCTTCAGAGATACCTGAGAGTGCTTGTTTCACTCCTGCGCGCGTTGATCAAAAGACCATGGCATGGAACTCAAAGCCACGGTTGGACCTGATTAAGTACGGACGATTCTTTCGGGACATGTAATCATTCCATTAAGAACGGTTACAATTAGCGCACATACGGACAGTTTAGCAGTCGACGTACTCGGGTTCTCTCTCTTTCTCTCTCCCCTCTCTTTCTCTCTTTTCCCGTTTCTCTCAAATATGTCAATCTCAATGTGTCTGCACGGACCGCAGATGTGCTCAGGCCATCAAGAACGGTTGCAAATCAGCGCACGTACTGACAGTTTAGCAGTCGACGTACTAGGGCGTTCTCTCTCTCTCTTTTCCCGTTATTCTCAAATATGTCAATCGCAATGTGTGTGCACGGACCTCGAATGTGCTCATTAATCTCAATGTGGGTGTGCATATCTCCGCACTTCTTTTGCAGTATCATCATATTTGATCACGCGCTCGTGTTTCGAGGGAATACCCTCTTGGGATGACTATGACCCCTTTCTTAACGTGTTGTGAAGAGGGAGCAAACTCATGATTCATCAAAGAACCGTTGCGAGTGTGTTGTTCAACTGCTGGTACAGGATTAATGTCCCCCTTGTTTGATATACTTTTGGGACCATTTCTCGATTTATGCGTGTCATCCTTTTGCGCAGGGACCATGGTAAATCTTCGCTATATCGTTCCAATTCTAACGGATGTCCCGAAGGACGGGCATACTTTTTACCGAAGTGTATTGGTTTTGGTATAATTATTATCGTTTAAGAATTGAACCCGCGGGAAGTGGGGAAAAAGGGCGGGAAGTTGAAAAAAAGGAACGGATTGAACTCTTCGTTGATGATGTAGATAAGGCGATGTGCATGTCATCACGTATGCCTTTCTCCCTCTCTTGTTGGCAGTCCTCTCTCTCTCTCTCTCTGTGCGTGCTGCACTTCAGATTAAGAGCACACACATGTTAATGATTTGCGCGGAAGAAAGGACAGGGATGTCGTCAGAGACGCTCCTCCCAAGGAGAGGTAACGCTAGGGTTCGAAATGAAGGTCGTTCGGAGAATTCGAGGTGGTCGGAGACTTGCGGCAGGACCAGTCGGGTGACGGCTATTTGATTGTGCGAGCTGAAATTAGTGTGTGACGACGGTTACAACGACAACGGTTAGTTGCTTGTCACTCAGTGGGGGCGGCTCGTAGAAGAGCGGGTCGGGGATTGGAGGACGACTCGGCCGCTGAGACAGAGGCTGCGAGAGGCTGATACTGGCCAGCTCTCTTTCATTTTGTTTTGTTTATCATACTATTTTTCGTGTATGTCTATGAAGGTGTAAAATTCACTATGTAAGTCCGCGAGGGAAGTGGGGTGTGGTGAACGAGCCCTCTCAGCACCTATTAATTCGGTCAGGGTCGACGGCCAGGCATTGTTCCCGCCTACCTTTCGATTCGCGCGGGAGTAAGGGTACGGCGACGCCCCTGTCCCTCTCCGCTGCCGCTCGCTTGCCGTCTCTTTCCTGGGCACGTGCTTGTGGTGAATTCTTGAGCCAATAAGATTTCCTTCTAATTAAGGTTACGGCGTCCCTCTCCCTGTCCGCCGCCGCTCGCTTGCCGTCTCTTTCTTGGGCACGTGCTTATGGTGAATTCTTGAGCCAATGAGAGTTCCTTCTAATGAAGGTTACAGCCTCTCCCTCTCCGCCGCCGCTCGCTTGCCGTCTCTTTCCGGGGCACGTCCTTATGGTGAATTCTTGAGCCAATGAGAGTTCCTTCTACTTTATTTCCTTTTCTTTCTTTTGAATGTTCCTACAACTTTGTCGTGCTTTTCTTTTGGGTTATCGATCGCGGTACGTTTCTGTTTGGGAATGTTCCCTTCTGCCCTTCGACTCGCATGAGAGTAAGGTTACGGCTTAAGGTGAATTCTTGAGCCAACGAGAGTTCCTTGAAAATTTTTTCCTTCTCTTTGAATGTTCCCACAGCTGTGGTGGTTTTCTTTCGGGTTATGGAGTGCGGTGCGTTTCTGTTTGGGAGCGCTCATGAAAGTGTGGTCCTCTTGTATCTGATTCTGTGTTTGGGAATGCTCGAGTGCTAATGGGAGTTTGGTCTTCTTGTACGTGTTGCCGTGTGTGCATGCAGGTGAGTCTTCCGCGAGGGTGGCCACCTTGACCGTGGCGTCAGCGTGGCAGCTGGATGGGCGACGCGCCCGTCGCCCACAGCTGGCAGTGATTGGTGGGGTGGGGTCGGTGGGGTCGGGGGTGGACTGCTGCTGCTTCTTCCTTTGGGTGGAGCAGAGGGAGACCTGCGTCGTGGTGGTCTGCGGTGTGGCAGGTTCTCGGACCTCAACTTTTACACGCAGCACTTGTGTCGGAGCGGCCCAAGCTCCTTGTTTATTGGCGTTCATGAATTCTCTGTCGTACGGGGAGATGCTAGCCGAGAAGGGGGAGAGCAGTGGGCGACGACGTCGAGTACGAAAGGGGAGCTGGGGCGGAGGCCGCGGGCCAGCTGCCGCCTGCAGCCAATCATTGGATCCTCGCGGTGAGGACTTCATCGTGCCGTCATCCTCCGTAGGGCGGCTCTATCGAAGAGAGGAGAAGTAAGAAAGCGGGGGTGGGGGTGGGGGCGTTGGTGAACTTTGGAGGGGGGGGGATTGGGCGGTGAAGTTGGCGTCTTCGGCTGTGTGCAACCATGGGCGCGACGGTGAGCGGCGGCGTTGGTACCCACCATGCCGGTGCCGTCCCTAGTGATAAACGGTTGCAGCAACGCACGCCAGGGAGAAGTTGGCCCCCCTCCTCGCAGATGGAGGGGATGTTCTCCATTCCGGATGGTGGCCGGGAAGGAGCATTGTCTGCTGCGCCTGTTGGTGCGGCAGCTCATGAGGTGGAGAGTGTTGGACGCCTGGAGGCCTTCCACCCCATTCGCGATGATAATTCGTCGAAAACTCCGCAGATGAGAACGCAGCCTCTTGCCATCTCGTCCTCTGGACTAGATGTTGCTACGGCTGTGCAACATCGCGGGAGTCCTCATGCAACAACTACGCTCCAGTTCTCTACTAGACCGGATGCTGCCGCCGCTGCTGCGGTGGAACATCATCTGACGTCTCACGGCTATGGACATGCGGTTGTCTCCGACGTGGTCGAGAGAATGGATGCCGGCTGGCGCTATGGCAGTCCTTCGAAAATCGAGGCCACCAGACGGTTATCATCATCTTTGGGCCGCGGCACTGGTGGTCCACGTGGCGGTCCTCAACGTGCCGTGGAACAGATTTGGCCACTTACTACTGATGCTTCTTCTGCGGACCTGCTGGTGAATGCTGATGATGATCTGGCTGTGGAAAAGGCTACTACTGGGGATGGCCATGGACGGCCGTCGTCATCATCGGGGGTCGACGGTGGTGCACTTGCAGCCGCTGATTGCATCTCATGCGTTGCTGCCTCTGCTGCTGATCTGGGAACTGCGGAAAATGCCGCTGCAGAAGATGGAGGGGGCCTTGGGGATGACGAGGGTGGCCATGCATCCGACCGTGATTACGAAAGTGAAGCGAAGTCTCGAAGAGTCTTCTCCGAACTCTCCGAGTCGGAAGCCATTGTTGGGGAACTTATTCCCGATCGCGGGAGCATAATGTACTACGAAGAGACGGAGGGGAGAGGGGGGTGCCTTGGGCAGCATGTTGGAAATGACGAGAGGAAAAGCCGCACAACTCCAACAACAATTGGCAGGGAGGGTTACCTGAGGGAGGCGGTGAGTAGTGCCAGTGATCCTGGAGGATATTGTGCGAGGTCTGATGGCCATGGTGCAGCTGGAATGGCGGCCTTGTACTCTCACCAAGAAATGGAGGATGAAACTTCAGCTTACCTGATGAGTCACGATGTTGAAAACGCAACTACCTTCCTTTCGAGAGAAGAAGAGGACTTAGGTGCGATTGCATCATCAGATTCGGTCGTGAGCTTGGGAGAGCTGACGATCGTTTCTTCACCAAAGGCTGCGACTGATGGTGGTCTGAACCTCGATCTGGAGAGGAGGACGAGACGTGATGCCAGGTCATGCTCGACAAGGGATGCAGAGGGTAGTGTTGTGGACTCTATGGTTGGTTTCACCGCCATGGCTTCTGCTTGTGCCCTCCCGGTGGACGAAGATGGAGAAGGTGAAGAAGAAGAAGAAGCGAACAGATCTATTGAGGAGGTGTGCAGCCTTCAGGCGGTTACCGATGACGAGGGCATGAACACGAAGAAGTACTATGAATCGTCCAAGGAAGAAGGTGAAGCGGAGCTTCGATCCTATCCCACCGATGAGCAGCAGCTGGAGTTGGCTAGTGCTGCGGAAGAGGTTGGAATGGGTGACTTGCGCAGTGATCCTGGCCCCTGTCGCGAAATGAACGGATCAGATGGCTCTGATGCTCCAATTGGTGTCCAGGATGCTGGCAAGATTATTCATGACAGTGGAGCCATGGACTTGGCTTTCCCGCTGGCTGAGGGTGGCTCTACTGAAGTGCCAGATTGGAGCAGCAATTCGTTCCCTCGCGAGGTCGAGCCTAGAGCAATTAACGGCCTGGGAAGGCAAATCCCCGAAGAACCATCTGTCAAGGGTGGTGCAGCTGCTGCGGCAGCAGCAGCGGTTTCCTCCTCGAAGAGACGAACCTGGTGGAAGTCTCTTTTTGGCAGCATGAAAGGTTCTGCAAATGGAAAGGATAGGGAGGAACACCAGGAGCAACGGCAAGGAAATCAGCATTCAAACCAAGGTTTGAACCTCAGGTGGAAGGTGGGGAGTGGTAACCCTCTTCATGGCAAAGAGGGTGGCGATACCGACACGGCACCTGCATCTAACGTGTCCACGCGCTCTGAGAGTGGAGTGGCAGGGACTGTCTCTTCCAAGCTAGGGTGGTCCTCCGACCGAAAGAAGGTCGGAGCTGGGCACTGGTTTAAGTGGGAGAAGGGTGACAGGCCTTCTGTGGTTGAAACTGCTCCTGCTACTGCATCTCAAAGTGGACGAACCGGAGGTGATCGAAATACGCATTTTCTCCTTGGCAGATGTGGGTCAGGTATACTGCTTGACGAGAGGAACGTGAAAGGTGCTCAACTGGGAGGCGCACGTGAGGAGAGATCTGTCTCAGTGCAGAGTGCGCCGAACCTTCTTGCTCTCATCGCTAAGGAGCAGATGCCAGTGCAGCCACCACCCACTCCATCTAGCGTGTTAGCTCCTGCCTCTCTGGAGAGTAGATCTTCCTGGCTCGATCTGAAGGCTATTGAGAACGCTTCTGCTAGTGCTGGTGCCATAAGAAAAACGTGGGTCATGGAGTGGTTGGACAGACTTGACGTGAGCCCTGGAGCATGGGATGTGCCAGAGGAGGATGTTATTCATGAAGAGATTGAGAGCTCGAGCACCCGTCCCGCAGTTGAAAAGCGAATGGGAACAGTTGGAAACTTGCAGGGTGAAGGTGCTGCCGTTAAGAAGGCTCAGTGGAAACGCTCTTTGTCCTTGAATTCCTTGACGGAAAAGAATGTTGCCGAGTCCCGTGCTGTGGCACATGTGGCTGGCGGAGCCGATGGAGGGGGTCTCGGTACAAAAGATTCTGCAACTGTGGCTGATATGGATGCAGCTGCTGCCATCCTGCAGCACCTGGACAAGACTGCTAATGCAGTAGCAATTTCTGGTCAGAGTCTGAAACTGGTTCCTGCGTTTGGAGCCTTCTCAAACCTCCGCAATCTGGACCTGTCGAGGAACTCAATAGGTAAGGAACAGAATACCCTTTTGCCCTTTCCTCCCATCTCTCTTTCGTATTTAGGTGTCTATGTTATTATTGCAGCAGGTTCGTCGAAATATTGATTCTCTAGGAGCAATACGATCTGCTGCTGAAATGCTTTTTTTATGAAGTGTCTAGTGGTCTTAGTATAGTTACTGTATTCTTGTAATTTCACGGAAATCGTCATAGGGCACCACTTTTCTTCCAGGCAGCTGGCGTGATTCTGCCACTGCGGTCCAGTTCTGCCGTGTTGTTGTTGTACCTCGCTCGTTCTCTGCATGGGCATGTGTTACAGAGGTCTCCTCTTTGTTGCCCGCTTCTCCCTCTGTGCCTACGGTTTACCGGGCAGTACTATATATAGGATGCAGTACTATATATAGGACGTTACTGCTCGTTTGTTGTCCTCTTTTCTGTCTCTGCCCATGGTTTACCGGGCAGTTCTGTTTGATGCTGTATAGGACGAGCAGCAAAAGAGGATGAAAAATTCTTACATCCTGGAAAGAAAAGGTAGCAGGTCGCAGTCGACTTTTTTTTTTTTTAACTAAGCTAAATTCTTCTCCCCGATTTACGTTGCATTACCTATCCTTGCATCTACAAACAGGGGCCGACCATATCTAAAGCAAGCAACTGAGCGCGAATGCTGAACCCTACCCCCTAGCGAGGGATGGAAGGAACGAAGGTAGCCCCTACCAAGACGGACCAGGTGGGGGCAAGCCAATTATCTCAGCTGGTGAACCCGAAGCGTGCTGCAGGAGGCGTGGGGGATCAAATGGAAAACGTGGGAAGTTGAACCCACGACCTCCTGAATGCCACTTGCGCATTCTATCTGCCACTTAGGCGGTGCTGCCAAAGCTTTGACCTCAGATGCCTCCGCTTAGAATGGGGATGTAAGCGAAGATGCCCTCACTTTTTGTCCCAACTTGATGCTAGATGTAAAAAGGCCCCAATGGCGAGGCCTATAGGAACAACCAAGCAATGCAACTGTTTCGAACTGTTTCGTAACCCTATGAACTAACGATTTCCAAACTTAAAACCGCTAGTACATGGCCCAGCCTTGTGGAGAAATTCTTCATCACCTACTCCGGCGAAGCCATGTCTGGGGTGTTGTTGATAAAGTGAATCTATAGCTGTGTGGCGTTTGGGGGGTCCGAAACTTGCGGTGAGGTGGCCGCGGTGGATGTATGGCCGTGCACTGGTGGTTTGAGTCTCATTTTGTTCACATAAGTCCTTTGTGAACAATTGCTATTCTCAGTCTTTTGTCAACAATTGTCATCTCTGAGTCTCTGAGCTAAAGCCCTGACGGATGTACGGATGTGTCAGGAGAGTGGACTAATGGGGGTTTTAAAGGGAGGAAGGGAAAGACGTGGAAAACAGGCACTATTGAGTGGATTGATTGAAGTTTGCAACGTTTCTCGTTTTTGTGAACCTGAAGGGCTGTTGATCAGCGTCCATTTTCTGGACGTGTTCTTTTTGTTTGTGCAGCAAGGATTCTCCCGGGGAGTCTGCCGAGGAGTCTGCATGTCCTGGATTTATCATACAACAAGCTGTCTGTAATTGAGGGGTATGTACTCTCTGGACTCCCTTTTTTAATGCGAAATAATTCACACATTAAACCGCCAGTACATGATGGCCCCAGCTAAGTTTCGAATCACGATTGAGCCTCTCCAAAAAAATGGGAGGCTTGGGAATGGCTGGCGACTCCAGCTGAAACAAAAACAAAAATGCTGCACTGGTGTTTCGGCCAAGCTTGGCACGGAGTGGGAATCTGTCTCGCGCAAAAGAGTGCCGGAAGAGCCCTGGATGTATTGTTTTTGAAGGCCTGAGCCTGATGGAGGCCCCCCAAGCCAGGGAGTACGCCATTCAGAACTGCAATTCATTATTGGACAAGTAAGCCATTCACAAAAAAGCCTGAGCCTGACACCCATGCTTGGTGCTGAATCTGCAATTCAGAACTGGAGGTCTCCAAGGTAGGCCGTCATGGTTCAGCTTGCTTTCAAGTTGATGTCCAGGGATGCTTTGGCTGTCGGATAAGGCACAGGGCCTCCCATGCAGGCCTGGCAGATGGACTGGTAAATTTTATGGTCGAAAAGTGTTGAACGAAAAGGAGAAGTCAGAAGAATGCTATGTCAGACGACATTATCCCCACCACTATAGAAACTCGTAAAGGGAATATCTGGAGAACCTAGGCCATGCACTGGCAACGGTCATGTAGGCTGATCAAAGATTGGCTTTCCCACCACTATAGAAACTCGTAAAGGGAATATCTGGAGAACCTAGGCCATGCACTGGCAACGGTCATGTAGGCCGATCAAAGATTGGCTGCAGCAGTTGATATTGCGTGTATCGTACTGTATACATAATTCTAGAAATTTTAGGCTGTGTGCTGGTAGATGTTGGAATCAGTGGCCGATCTCACTTTTTCAAAGCTCGACTGTGAATCCCGCCCTATTGACGGATGCACGGCCTATCTACCCAATACTACAATTCTCAATGGCCACGGGTACTGTTCACTGGCCGACGATGCGATCGTGTGCTTTGGATGTGTGAGGTTTGCGGTGGGGATTGCTTTAGAAGTGTTTTTGAGGTGCAACGAGAACTGTTTGTGGGCGTGGAGTGCGGTGGAGTCGTTCGATGTGTTGTGTTTTTTTACATCGCATGGTTTCATTTGTTTCGATCGTGTCGGAATTTTACATCGTAGGGTTGCAATTTTGTGGCTCGTCAGAATTTTACATCGTATGTTTTCTCGATAGTCTCGATCGTGTCCGAATGTGTCAGATTCGTTTGGTTTTCAAGTGGGCGACGGTTGAGCCTGCGAGAGGTGAAAGCAAAATATGTTGCTGAGTGTGTGGGAGATGAAAGCAAAAAAAAAAAAATAAAAAAAAATGTGTTTTTCGAGAGGGCGAACGGTCGAGCCCGGAAGAGAAAACATCGCATGGTTTCATTTGTTTCGATCGTGTCGGAATTTTACATCGCAATTTTGCGGCTCGTCAGAATTTTACATCGTATGTTTTCTCGATAGTCTCGATCGTGTCCGAATGTGTCAGATTCGTTCAGTTTTCGAGTGGGCGACGGTTGAGCCTGCGAGAGGTGAAAGCAAAATATGTTGCTGAGCGTGTGGGAGATGAAAGCAAATTTTTTTTTTTTTTTTTTTTTTTTGTGTTTTTCGAGAGGGCGAACGGTCGAGCCCGGAAGAGGTGAACGCAAAATATGTTGCTGAGCGTGTGGGAGATAAAAGCAAAATAAAATATAAAAGGCAAAAAAAAAATCGTACGGTTGCTTTTTTTTCAATCATGTCAGAATATGTCAGATTCGTGTGGTTTTCGGGTCGGCGAAGGTTCGAGCCAACGAGAAGGGATGTTGCTGAGCGTGTGGGGGATAAAAGCAAAGTAAAAGGCAATTTTTTTTCTTCGTACGGTTGCTTTTTTTTTCAATCATGTCAGAATATGTCAGATTCGTGTGGTTTTCGGGTCGGCGAAGGTTCGAGCCAGGCAGAAGGGATGTTGCTGAGCGTGTGGGAGATAAAAGCGAAGTAGAAAGAAGAAAAAAAAAAAAAAATCGTACGGTTGCTTTTTTTTAAATCATGTCAGAATATGTCAGATTCGTGTGGTTTTCGGGTCGGCGAAGGTTCGAGCCGAAAGGTTCGAGCCTCCACCCTCCATCCTCTATCCTCGTCCATTGTTGTAGTCCTTGTCCTCCCTACTCTTCCCTCCTCTTTCCTCGTTCTCCCTCCAACTTTCTCCTCGTCACCCATCCCTCTCCTCCTCCTCCTCGATTGTCAGCTCCTAACCGAACCATCACCATGGCTGTTTTCTTGTCGTCATTGCCCCTGCACTTGTGCACGTGTGTGTGTGTGTGTGTGTGTGTGTGTGTGTGTTCACATCATCTTTTCGTTTACTTGTTGGTTGGACAGGTGGTATATGATGATGAATCGAAGGTGTTTGTGACTGGTCTTTTAGTCATTTGGTGTGTGTGTGTTGTGTGTGTGTGTGTGTTCACATCATCTTTTCGTCTAGTTGTTGGTTGGACAGGTGGTATATGATGACGAATCGAAGGTGTTTGTCACTGTTTTTTTAGTCATTTGGTGTGTGTGTGTGTGTGTGTGGGTGGGTGGGTGTGGGTGTGTCATCTTTTCCTTTACTCGTTTGTTGGACAGGTGGTATATGATGAAGAATTGATTGTCGTCCCTACTCCTCTTCCCTCCTCTTCCCTCGTTCCTCCCTCGTCCGTCATTGTCATAGTCCTTGTCCTCCCTACTCTTCCTCTCTCTTCCCTCCTCTTCCCTCGTATGGACTGCGAGTGTCAACAATGGCAACAGGGGCTTGCTGGAAAGATGGACGGTACCGGTAAGGGCATATGGGAAACTTTTCCGGTGGTTCTCAACAGGCACTGGTACTGGTAGGGGCATATGAAACATTTTTGAGGCCCAAACGACACGAGGGGTTTTCTGGAAACATCATTGGTCGTCAGAGGGGTGCGACAAGGTAAGTCGGCCGTCGGAGGGGCACGCCGCACATAAACGCAAACTTCAGGGGCATTTCAAAAATTTTCCCAAAAAAAAAATAAAAAAATCGTACGTTGCATTTTTCGAGAGGGCGAACGTTCGAGCCCGTAAGAGGTGAAAGCAAAATATGCTGCTCATCGTGGATGCTCGGACTTTTCCTGCTCGACGTCCTCTCCTTGGCGCTCAGTGTTCTCTCTCTCTCTCTCACACACACACACACACACACGCACACACGGTGTGCTCTCCTTTGCTGCTCGACGGTCGGTGGTCATCGTGGATCCATGCCTGGATTCGTGCTCATCTTCGATCCGTGGTTTTGGTGGTCAGTGCTCATCGTGGATCTTTGGTGTTGGTGATCGTTGCTCATCGTGGATCAGTGCTTCGTCTTCATTGGCGCTCATCGTGTTTGCTCCTTCGGTGCTCGGACTTTTCATGCTTGACGTGCTATCCTTGGTGCTCATTGCTCTCTCTCTCTCTCTGACTGTTGCTAGGGGGGAACTTGGTGCTCTCCTTTGGTGCTCGACGGGTGGTGCTTATCGTCGATCTGTGCTTTGCATGCTCGACGGGAACTTGGTGCTCTCCTTTCGGTGCCCATTGTCGATCTGTGCTTTTCTTGCTCGACGGGAACTTGGTGCTCATCGTGCTCTCTCTCTCTCTCTCTCTCTCGGACTGTGCTCTCCTTTTGAGCTCGACGGGAACTTGCTGCTCATCTTTGGTGCTTGGTGCTCTTCGTGGATCCGTGCTTTTCGTCACGTGCTGATCGTGGATCCTTGCTTTGGTGCATGATCACATGCTGATTGTCGATCCGTGCCTTTGGTGCTCGGTGCTCAGCGTGGATCCGTGCTTTTCTTTGGTGGTGCTCGGTGCTCATCGTGGATACGTGCTCATCGTGGGTTCGTGCTCATTGGGGATCCGTGCTTTTCTTTGGTGCTCGGTGCTCATTCTTGATCAGTGCTTTTCGTGCTCGGTGCTCAGCGTGGATCCGTGCTCATCGTGAATCCGTGCTCTCTCTCTCTCTCTCTCTCTCTCTCTCTCTCTCTCTCTCTCTCGGCCCGTCCTCTCTCCTCCCTCCACAGAGTCAGAGCGAGAGAGAGAGGCACCAGAGGCACCATCAGCATCCCCCCTCCCTCGGCCCATCCTCCATTCCCGCATAGACCCTCACTCCTCCCTTCCTCACCCCTGCCCCATCGGCCCTCCCTCCTTCCTCCCTTTCTCCTTCTTCCCTCCCTCGCCTTCTCCCTCCTCCCTCCGGTGGCGGCACCTTCCTCCCTCGCTTCGTGCTCCCTTATCTGGGGACAATATAGAGAGTGCATTCCGTTTTTCTTAGCTTTCTCAATTTGCGTTAAGGCTTAGCGCCACATTTTTTCTTCAATGTGAATAAGGGCGAGCGTGTGCTCTCGCGCGTGCGGTCGCACGCAGGCTCACACAGCGAGGGGTGTGGATGTGTGTGTGTGTGGGGAGAGAGAGAGAGAGAGAGAGAGAGAGAGAGCTGACTCAGTGTGGTGCGTGTAGGGATTGGGGAGGAAGAGAGTGAAATATGGAAAGGCCTGAAATACCTGGCGCAGGGCAGTTAATCATAAGGCCGCTCCAAAAAGAAAAGATCGAGGGAGAATGTTGAGGAGGAAGATCATGAAGAGGCAGAAGATGTGGTGGTGGAAGAGACGGGGACAAGGACAAAGAAGGTGCGAGGAAGGAAGTGTGTTGGGTGAAATGCGTTTTTCTCTCTCCTGCTTTCCGTCTCTCCTTCTTGCTCGTGCGTAACAGTGTTGAAATCTTAAAAAAATGGAGCGATCTTGATAACAAACGGTGCGTTTACGTCCAAGGATAAAGGAAAGTATTTCTTACGTCGGGCGTTACGAAGGAAGGGCGGCCGGTCGAGGGAGGAAGGGGGAGGTAGGGAGTAGGACGGAGGGAGGAATGGAAGGACGTCAGGTGGTGATTGGGCTGAGGAAGGAAGGGAAGGGAGGAGATCAAGGGAAGGAGGTCAGACAGAGATCAGGCGGACGAAGGGGGCGAGCGGAGGGGAATGAGGCGGCCAGGCGGACGGAGCTCAGAGGGAG